ATAATGAAAATAGTTGTTAGTCGCAGCTCTAGTCTGTATCCTAACCTTATCCTTCATGTGCTAAAAGGCACGAATAACCCTACGACTGTATTTGGCTAGGTTTGTAAATGTGGGGGTCCTGCTACCTGGCGGATGATGGTGCTCTAGACTACTCTCAGCTCAGAGCCATGTCTGCATGGTGAGCATGAATTACTATTTGGAATCATTATCAGGATTCATTAGTGGAGATATTCACTGTCTACTGTAGAGGAATATTCCTCTGCATTAGTTATGACTAAGTTTACAAACTACTGAACACAAAGTGAGTGAGCACTGAGCATTCTAATTGAGTACTGAACAGTGTGGTAGTTACACTGAATTGGTACACAGACTGAATACTGAACACAGTGAATGAATACTGTTCATATTCAAGCTCTATCCCACTCCTAATGTTGAGGAAAATTTCACTACTTACACTTCACCAAAAGATTTATGTGAAAATTTCATCCTCATCTCCAGCCAGTTTGAGAGTTGTTTAGAAAACCAACATGAATCACTTGTAAACGGCTGTAAATATCTGAGGTTTGGAGTGAATCCAGTAATCCCCAGGGATTGTTCCTGACTGTAATGCAGCACACTTCCTGCTATGTTTCGCAGGCCTGCCTGACAGACCGTCCCACGTCTGCGTCTGTTATTTCATTTTTTTATTTCATACAAACCGTATAATCCTGGCTCAGATGTTTGTAATGAAATTGGATTTGCTCTGACCGAAAGGCTGAAGTCTGTCAGAGCAGAAAGCCATTCTCTTAACGGAGAGCAAGATGGCAGCGGTAGTTTGCAGAGTGTTTTCTTTTTTTGTGTTTTTTTTTTTGTCTGGTTCCATCATGAGAGCAGACCACACAGTCTCCTCCTGACGTTTGCAGTCTGTCTGCAGGGTGTTGTCTTACACCGCTACTCCCTTTCTCACGCTGAAGTGGGGCCTTGCCTTTTTTTTTTTTTTTTTTGGTGGGTTGCTTTCTACAATGTATTACTCAAAGATGCATGTGTTAGCAGTTCAGGTTCAAGGTCAAGAAACTAAATTGGGCCCATTGACATGGGAGCGTTAGAGCTGAGCGTTCAGGGCCGGTTTCTGATTGGGTCTTTCACAGTGGTACCCTTATGACCTCGTTCTGGCAGGAAAGGGTGAAATGAGCTCTGCTGGCGGCCTTCATTTCAACAGCCGAGTGTGAAGCTGCCTGTATTCGTCATGGTTGGCATAGGTTAGTATCTCTCTGGTTACGTTGTGTTTTAGTTTCACTAAGTGAAATATTAACTTCTGAATGGATGTTAATTGTGACATAAGCTGAACCTTAGTGACTAAAGAACAGCCTGCTTCTGGTTGGCCCAGACCAGGGGTTTCTGGTCTTATCTGAGAAGGTCAAGTGTGGGTGGGTGCAAGTTTTTATTCTAGCTTAGAACTGAAACTGATTCAGTGAATCAAGTTTTAATCTTCATTCAAGACATTGTTATTATTTTAGTCTTTTTTTCTTTCTTCTTTTCCCTTTCCCCAACCCATGAGTTTGTTTAAAGCATTGTTGTGTTATTTTTCCTTCCCTGGTACAACTGAGAGTCATGTCTCAGCTTTTTTTTTTTAATGTTGTTACTGTACAGTGTTCCTGGCGATGTTTTGATACTGTGGTGCTGTATAAACGACAATGTTTTATAGTAAACACTCTGCATTTCCCTTTGTTAGTGTGTCTCCTTTAAAGGCTCATTCCAGAAAAACTTACTTTCAAGATTTTTAACCAAAGAAATATAAATCAGAAATCAGAAGCAGAAAGTGGTGACATAGTAGTTCACAGAGCTAGTTGGAAAAGTAAAGCTCCCTAATCTGTGTGGTAATGTCATGGGCAGGATGGCTGCGTCATATCTAATGCCTGCAATTATGACTTGGGAAGTCGTCTGCGGTAGAAATCAGAACGTTGACATTTTCATGGCCAGAATAGTCATACTTCAAACATCACATCAGTGTTTGGACTCGGATCACTGAGCAGTGCTGCATTAACAGCACAGGATGTGATATTTATCTGAAAAACATCAGGATGAGTCAAACGGGTCAAGTGGGCCTGAAAGCTCTTAATGAGAATTGGAGTGGGTGCATCGAATGTGGCGCTCTGCGTCTGGTCTCTGAGCTCCAGCTTCCTGCCCGCTGCAGGGCCCAATTATAGCATGGCTGTGGAGATGCGGGGGTGGAGCTCGGGGTGAACCAGAACGCAGCGTTGCATAGGGAACACCATCTGCACCGTGGTGCCCTCCGACACCTTGCCGTGTCCCTGCACGTGGAAACGTCAGTGCTAATGGGAAAATTGCCTTTGTATTAACGCCTCCGTGGTGCGATCTGAGCCAATTAGTGCAGAGCTGTGCCCACGCTTGGTTCGGAAGGGCGAGAGGGAGAGACCCGCGCTGGATGCAGTACAGGATGCCGTTTTGTTTGTTAATACAGGAAATCATCTGTGCTTTTATTTATTTATTTTACTTTTACTGTGCTGAACACAGCGGCTGAATACTCAGCATGCTGACTGAGCAATGTAGACAGTGAGCCACTGAGCTCTACCATGTTGACCTTATGAATGTTAAGCATTGTTGCCTGTGATGGTGTAAAGCACATTAGTCATGTGATCACTGGCCATTCTAATTGAACAGCGTAACAGAGCTGAATCCACAGGAAAGTCAACATTGTAACAGTGGGAATCTGTAGCTGTTTGTGTGAGTCTCTGGGCCGTTGAATCTCACATTGCATCTGTGCTGTAAATCTAAGAGAGGCCAGCAGCGTAGAGCTCAGAAACCCGTCTCTCACACACGCCCGATCACATTCTCCCTCTTCTCCTATTCCCCCCCCCACCCTCTCTGTGTCTGACTCCGCTCTCTGGACACACGCTGGTCCGGATGCTGTTTGGCAGCCGCGCCGCCCGTGATCACGGCGATCCTGAAGCTCGGCCGGGGTTCTTTATTACCGGGCTATTTATAGAGCGCTGGCACCGAGCCTCGCTCTGCCAACTGCTGCCGTGCCCGCTCTGCCCGCCAGTGGCATGGGCCGACGCGCACACACACAAGCACACAAGTGCGCACGCCATGCACGCTGCTGTGTGGGTCACTCAAAAATCATAAAACCTTCCTCTGTGCGTGTTCACAGAGAGCCTTTTAAATCAGCGTACACTGAGAGCATAGGCAGCAGCGGCGCATGGAAAGGGTGATGCGTTAGGACGGAACTGACTGATCAGATACTGAGCGCAGCGCTTCACTTCAGTTCAGAACACTTTAATGCTCAACTTTGGTTGAAGAACGTACGCTTTTTTTCTTTGGCTCGAATACTGCACTTGCAGAACAAAATACTATAAAATAGAAATGTAAGCATCACATTTTATGAAGTCTCCGCTGCCAGTATTCAGCCTCTGTGTGTATAATCAGTATGGCGTCGCTGTAATTCCTGTATATGGCATCGCTGTAAATTACTAAAAACACTAATAGCAGTAAGGCTGTGAAATGTTGAATCTGAAGGGGTGACATGACTTGTATTTTTTCCTATCAAAATTAAAATGGGACTGGGGTACTTGTCTCTGTGGCGTGTTTGGTATTGAACTCCACCTCCAGTGTCTATGTGTTATGCAGGAGAGGAGCTCTGTTGGGCCAGGGAGGTTAAATACTTTCCCTCGGTGAATTAGTCGTGTGGGAAAGGGGTTTGATTGCCAGAAGCCTCCTCCATCTTTCGCTCTCTCTCTCTGTCTTTCACCTGCACTTATCCTTTTAACCTCTGTGCCTGCCTCCAAATGATACGATTACAGCAGGTAGGGAGCCGTGGTCCTCTTCCTGCTGCTGCTAAAGTGGTTGAATAACCTTTAGTTTACCTCTTTATTTTAATGCTACAGCAGTGAGGAAGAGTCATCAGGCTTTTTATTGGGAGGGAGGATTGAGGCCATCTTGCTGTTTTGATTGGCTCATTCGATGTGGTCATTTGAAGGCTGATTGGAGCTGAAGTAGTAATGATAGTGGTGGAGGAGGTCTGCTCTGCTCTGTCACTCTGCTGTAGGGTCACTCTGTGTCCTTTTGTCCATCTCCTGGGAGGAGGGGTGGCTGGACACAGTGAAGGGTGACCAGTTGCGTGCAGTTAAAGGGTAGCAGGTAGCAGATCTGGGCTTTGTGCTGGAACAGGTCCTGAGCCTCTTCCTGTATTCAGCAGAGAGAGAGAGAGAGCACACACCAACAGCAGCAAGCATTGCCGAGCAACACCGTCGCCCGCGGTTACGACAACCCCTCCTGCAGACTAGTCACAGGCAGGGTGGGAGGGGCTTGGAGAGGAAGGAGGAGGGGGCGTGTCCTTACTGTGAGAGGAGCGAGAGGGAGTAGAGAGGCATGCCAGTTTTCTGGGGGTAGAGCGAGAGTGAGTGAGCTAGAGGAGGGAGCGGGGTAAGAGTGAATGGATGGAGCATCGTTAGCAGAGGAGTGAAGCAAGGTGAACAGGGTGCATCCCTCCCTCCCTCTCTCCGTCTGGATAGGAGTGATAACGGTGTCCTGCTGCACGCTGGAAACAGACTGAGATAGAGACAGAGACAGAGAAATCTCACAGAGACAGCTGGACCGTCTCCCAATGGGCCTCAGGGTTTTGCATGGATTCGAGGGCGCACGCCAGGTGCCCGGGAGCTAACTGGAGCTGAAGAGGAGAAACGGCAGCAGCGGTGGCGGCAGCTCTTCCTCCCTCTTCCCTCCTCCTCCTCCTCCATGAGCAAGTCGATGTGCGGCTGTGGCTGCAGCATCATCTCCTCTTTGATGAAGAGGCTGGGCCGCTCCGCCTGCTGCTCTCACCTGCTGGCCTGTGGCCACGCCCCCGAGCACCTGCAGCACCTAGCAACCAGCTGCCCTCCACCCCCTCTTCAGGTAACTGCTGGCTGTCAAGGGCAGGAGGACTTATGGGATGTTCAGGAGTTTATTATTGTAACATGTGATAGAGGTGCAGGTTTGATTCTGTATTTGAGCTGTTTGTGCTTGGCATTGTGGTGTAATGGTTAGGTAACTGGACTTGTAATCTAGAGGTTGTGGGTTTGATTCTCAGGTGGGTCATTGCTCTTTTAACCTGAAGCCAGGAAGTGGTACTTTAACTGAATTGCTTCTGCAAGTATGCAGCTGTATAAAATGCTTGTACATAAAATGAAATGAATACTGTTTGACTCACTCTGGGTAAGAATGTCTGCTGAATGTCTGCATGTACATTCAAAACCACCTCTCTGTTGTGAATACAGTCTCAAGCTTGAAAGACTTGCCGTTGCCAGTTACTGTTGTTGTGTCTGGGGTGTAGGTAAAGCACATGGTAAAGATGGGAGCCGGGCATGCTCCAAAAGCATCAGACTTGTAACACAGAGGTTACAGGTTCCATTCATTCCCATACAAGGCACTTGTGCCGTACCCCTGAGCGAGGCACTTCTCCTAAATTGTTCCATCACCATATCCAGGTCTTTAAATGGTTGGTGTGCAAAGATGTAAACAGTGTCCCTGTGAATAAAGGCAACCCTTGAAGGCATAAATGTAGAGTGTAAATGTAAGTAGCAGGGCAGTACAGTAAAGGATACTCTGTGTAATGGTGGTAGAGGGTGGAATGCAGCATTCCCACGCTACTATGTCTCGGTCAGAGCTGAAGTGGGGAACATGAAAAGGTGTAAAAGACAGCTTGCTCACTGTGCCAGCGCTGTGAGCCGGTGACTGCCTCTGTAATAGATAGTGTAATAGTGTAATGGAATTGGGTGATAATAAAGGCGCTCTTTCTCTCTGGGCTCAGAGAGATTGCAGACATTGCTGCTTGTGCTTTTTCTGAGATAAATGCTTTTATTGGCCAAGGGGAGGAGAGGTATGAGGGCGGGGGTGGGGGGGGGGGGGGTTGGGGGGGGGGGTGGGTTGGGGGGGGGGGATACCTCAGGTTGTAACTGAGGAGAGGTTTGGGTTTGAAAAGCTTTAGTGGGAAATAATGAGGTTAACTTCAATGTTATTTGGGCTGCTGTGTTGCCTCTTTGAAACCAGTGAGTTATGAGGGAGAAATGCACCACAATGCCTTTGGCAAGGCTACCTCAGTAGACTGTCTCTTTCTCTGTCTCTCTCTCTCTCTACCTACCTCTTTCTCCCTTTTTCTAATTGTCTCCCTCTCCCTGTGTACATCTCTTCCTCCCTCTCTCTTCTTCTCCTTCCATTTCTCTCTCTTGGCCCAGCTCCATACCCCCTTGATGTTCAATTGCCCTGCTCTGCCAGTGGGAGGCGCTGTGACATTGAGACTCCTGGCACGTTGTCCATTCAGAAAGCACAGTGTTAAAAGAAGGTACGCATGGGATACTGTATAAATGTGAAAGTTTCCCCGCGCGAGGGCCGTCTCTCCCATCAGCAGCGGCGCTGCCTCAGGAAGGGTATCGATCAGGGACACGTAGCCTGTGAGGTGCAGCCAGATGCCATTGATACGGGCCTATTTATAGCAGCAGGAGCAGTCTCAGGCCGGGTGTGTAGCCCCTAATCCCTCAGGAGGACGCTGCTCATGAAGATTAACACTCAGCATTACAGCCTTTTAGCCAGGCCCCCTAAATCACGGCGGCTGCACCGCTAAAGCCATGCCGCGCTCTGGCCTTTGCGCTGTGCTGTGTGGCTGGAAAGGAGCTGTGGAATCAAAAGAAAGTACATCCAGACGCCCTGTTGCCATAGTAAAAGAACGATGGGGAGGCGGGAAGGTCGTTCTTTGCCTCCATTGTGTCTGTATGTGTGTATTGGTCTGTGTATATCTGTGTGTGTGTGTGTGTGTGTGTGTGTGTGTGTGTGTGTGTGTGTGTGTGTGTGTGTGTGTATATCTCTGTGTATATTGTATTTGTGCATGTATCTGTGTGTGCTTGTGTAAGTGAAATACAAACACAAAGGTAACTAATGTAAATGTGTGTGTGTGTGTGGGTGTGTAAAATGTTCCAGGCTGGCGTGGTGTATGAGTAGTGTGTTGCAGTAAACACACCCCTCCATCATGAGCACACTGCTGGATGGCGCTCTGTGTATTGATGTGCTCCCCGGGCTGTTGGGTTGTGTCCTATGAGTTAGGAATGAGAGTCTGTGGCCCTCAGGGGCCCCATCTTTCCCTGCCTCTGTTACAGCCAGGGGTCTGCCATTGATCCAGCAGCCCCTCCCAGGTGTGTGTGTGTGTGTTTGTGTGTGTGTGTGTGTGTGTGAGTGATATAGCACTGTCTCCTCTCCTATAGACCACTGCTGTCTCCAAACCCTGCCCGTCTCTGTGAGAAGCCGTCAGCTCCTCGCCACGAGCTGTGTTGGCTTATGACACCCGGATTAAAAATTCTTGTGACCAAAGAAAAGCAAATTAAAGCGAAACGCCGTTTTGAATGAGGAAGAAGGAGCGAGGCGCTTCCGTGGGTGTTATAAATATTAATTTCCCCTCTGCTGGAAAAGGGGGAACCAATGCGCAGGTGGAAGGTGACGACCGTGAACGCTTTTGAAAGCCGCGAGGCGTAGGTCTTCGGCGGTTTTTTGAACAGTTCCAAGTTCAAGATATAAAAGGCTTTTTTTTAAAACTTCAGCTGCTTGTAAGGGCCTATTTTCTTTCCTACTGGCAGAAATGCCATTTTTTTGACGTTAATAAACACCCATGGTGCTCCTCTTTTACATCTCAATGCCTTCCACTCATGTAACTGCTTCAGCTGAACCGACTTCCTGATTTTCCTGACTTTCCAAACTAGTTGAAAGGTCATGCCTCCTTATTTCATTTTTGAACTTGACACTGAACAGGACAGCTATGCTGCAATGACACACAGAACATCACAGAACATAGGAAATCATTTCATGAGGAAATCAGGCCATTGACTTGTGTAGTCTGATCATTAAAACATTCATTTGACTCGTCAATTTTTGCTTTTTTTTCGTTGTGCAAGATCATTTCAAATCAACGGAAAGTGCTATGTTGCTTAAAAAAAAAAGATCATTGTGGGTCAAGTTGACCTGTATTCACATGGTGTTATTACCCAGCATGCAATGGTGGTGTAAAGGTTGTCTGATTGGCCCCTGCTGTGGAGCTGTGCGTCTCCAGCCCAACTACTACCCAACCAGCGCTCCAGACTGCACCTCCAGTTTTGCCACGTCGAATCAATACAATGACAGAGATGTTCCAATTAGTCGCGTGCTTGGCAGGTACCACGTGTGAATTATGTAGGTCCAGCAGGACACTGAAAAACGTGAGAGAGACCTCGGACACATCCATTGATCCATCTACCTGTGGAAAAAAATAAAACCCTATCAGTGTGAAAAATGGAAGCATTGATTCTTTTTAAGGGCCCAGAGTTGGCTGCAATCAGCATGAGAAAAACAGAGAAAACACAGAGACAGCTGTGACAGACAGCCCCACCTTTTCAGGCTGATTATTGTTATTGTGTGTATGCTGTTCTGGTCCTGGGTGTGCCAGTGCGTTACTGTTCTGTGTATTGAGTGGTGTTCTGCAAGTCTGAGCTGAAGTGTTGTGGCAACTGAGCGGAAAAAACACTGTCAGTTTGCCTCTCCACATCTCCCCTTGGTGATTGAGACCAGTACTCCCCCCCTACCCATCCTGCTAATGTTCACAACTCTTCAGCACTTTTTCTGCAGTTTCTGTTAAAATCCTTACACTCATGTTCATGCAGCATCTCCACGTACTGATCTGGGATCAGGTTTCCCCATCCATATCTTAACTTGAAGACCTAATGAGTGAAAAAGTAAAACTGATCGTAGATCAGCAGTTAATGCTGTGAGGCACTATATGAATACAGGCGCATTCCTAGTAGTTTGTCTGATCTGGCTGTTTTGTGTCTGTTCATTTCTCTGATGGTTAGGAGCCCCAGCCCTGTTGTTCACACACACAGTGTCTGTTGTTCTCTCTCTTTGAGGAGCGGTTGTGATTTGACCCGTGCACAGGCGGTGTGAGCGCTGAAACTCGACGCTGTGTTTTTAGCGGAGCTGATCGGGCCCCAGTGGCACACTCTGCGGGAGCAGAGCCAAGCCGTTTCTTTATCATTTAATGAAGCAGAAAGGATTTTATTAGTGCTGTCTGTCTCAGCCGCTGCTCTGCCAGGCCTCTTCTATTCCAGCGGCAGCGGTGAGGGGTAGCATGCCCCTCCCCTCCTCCCCCCACCCAACCACACGTGTTTAAGCGCCTGTTTCCACGACAACATTAGCGGGGGCCCATGGTTAGCAATAGCCTTATATAGTCTCAGACGTTTTGAAATAAGGAACAGAACAATCTTTTATTTTGAAGTGGTCCCTCTGCTGACAGATTTATTCTAGGATAGGGAATTCATTTTCTTTGTAAACTGGAAATATTATTGTTTCACAGAATTGCAGATTAGAAATGAAGATCTGAAAATCTGTATGAAATTGTGAATGGGAAAAGTGTTGCACTGCGATGCTATATTTCTCAGTGTAGTTCAAGCCTGTTTGCTGCTTGCTGATGCTTGTGGTTCTACCACCAGAAAGGGATGTGTATGACCAAATGGGTCTGGAAGGCTGCAGGCTGAAAGATAGAAGGGAAGGCTTTGTCTAGGGAAGGCAAGACAAAGAGGTGTCAAACTCCAGTTGTGGAGTTCTGCTGTGTCAAGAGGTTTGAATGTAGGTTCCTTGAGATCCCTGCATTAGAAGCTGTTTTGGGGGCAGGGAGCAGGTGAACCATGGAGTCATAGAGCACCTGACTGCAGTCGTGTCATTTGAGAGCATCATAATGATCCAGTAATGATCCCAGGTATCTACACAACAAATGCACTCTGCTCAAGGTCATGGATAACAGCGGAATGATGGAGCCTCCACATCACACCGCTGTTCTCACACACACACACACACACACACACACACACACACACACACACACACACACACACACACTCCCTGTCCGCTCAGTCACCCTGCACCTCTTTCTCTCAATCATCCTCCACTCCTCTATGGCTGGTGCCACAGTTGGTTTGAAAGAAAAGTTAGTGGGAGGAAAATGAAGCACGGTAAAGGGTGATTCATACACGCTGCTGTCAAGGGTTTCATACACTGACAGCGTGCTGAATGAGCGTTTCCGCATG